CCATGCCCGGCCAGCCCTCCGAAGTCAACCACAGCCCTGATGCGGCCCTCAATGAAATTGAGTTTGACAGCCCTGGTATAAACCATTCTGATAGATTTGTAAAACCGGTATTTTCATACAGCTGAGCCCCCCCAGGACCTGGATAGTTCCTGAAGCTATTTCACTGGTTGTAACCATCTAAAGTGCAAAAGTCCACAAATTCCATTTCCAGTAGAGGGTTTGAACCTCATAGAATAAGATCTGGCTACCACAGAACTCGTAGAATAAAATCTGGCTCGGATCAGTCCTAGTAAGGATGGAACTGGTCACTTCCTGCCTCTTGGCGATCAGTGCTTATGACAGTGTTGGCGAACCTTTTCGGCACTGAATGCTGAAATGGGAATGTGCGTGCGCCCATGCCAGAAACTGAAAGAGCAGCCACCCGGTGCGCATGCATGTCCTGGGAAAACCAAGTGGCCCATGCGCATGCATGTGCCGGAAACTGGAAAAGCAACCACCTGGTGTGCGCGCACCGGGCAGCTGCTTTTCCGGTGCTCCCGCACACGTGAAGACCAGCTGGCCGGCGCCCCGGCTCACGTGCCTGGAGAGATGGCTCTGTGTGCCACTTCTGGCACGCGTGCCATAGGTCCGCCATCACGGGCTTATGAGAAGGAGAATCTCTTCTTCATTTGGACTTAACACACATTCTGGATTTTTTTTTTCTCAGCTGATTGCCGTTTTGCACAACTTACCAGAAAGTTTAAGCAAGAAGAAAGAGCAACCCAAAGAAGGAGTGACACAGGGTATTTATCGCAAGTTTCATGTATAATGTAGATATTAGCTAGCTGCGATATGAGCCTTTGCTAAGTAGACCCTTGTAACACATTTTCCGTGATTCTCCCTGCTTCCTTCCTCCCTTTTAAACTTGAATACTTTGTAATAAAGTTGAACGCTTGGCAGCTGAGGGTTAAATTTTGAGGGTGTCAGAGAAGCCCAATGTCCCTTAATTTAAAGATGGAAGAAGAGGGAGCACCCATTACTTTGTCAACCAAAAAGTATCGCTTCTAAACGTTACTGGGACATTGGAAAAGATCATTTAAATTGTTTAAAAACGCGGGACGAAAAGAGATCGGTTTTCTTTTTATTTTCCTCTAAAGCTCCGAAAGTCACTATTGCAATGAGCTGCATTCAGTGGGAAGAACAAACTGCTGAGCAGATACTCAGGCTACATCGTGCCTTAGGAGCCATGGTAAGGTCAGCCTCTCGGAGAACAGGTTGCTTATCAATCATACATTTAAATTCAGAAACAGCTTTTTGCAAAAACAATCTTGATTTTTCAGCCCTTGGATGAAACTGGGTTGGTGGTGGGAATGGAACTATATTCTGGAATTACAGTGTAAATTTTTTTTAAATAGGGAAATATTGCAGAATACTTTTTTTTGATGTGATGGATTTTTTAAGGAATAAAATGGAGCATATATAAAAAATACGCCCTACAAATGAGTAAGAGGAGCTTAAGTTCCTCTTACTGAATTCTGAGTCCCCTCTCAGAATTTAACCTGGCAAAGGCAAAATGCAAATTCTTTTGGTTCTATTATGGTTCCTTTCCAATTAAAATACAGTTAAAATACAGTATCTAGTGCATGGGTCTAGTCCACCGCGTCACGTTGCCGTCACGTGATGTTTCACAACGTTTTTCCCATTCGCAGAGCGGGGGTGGGATGGGGTGCGGGATGCCAGTTTGACCCCCCTGATCTAGTAGATTAGCTTCCTACTTAAAGTATTTTTCGGACTATAAGACTCACCGGAGTATAAGACATACCAAGGTTTTGAAGAGATAACAAGAAAAAAATTGTTTTTGACCTCCCCAGGCCCCAGGAGCACTCTTCAGGCCTCCCAAACCCTCTGCGCATCCCGTTTTTGCAAAAAATGGGCCCGTTTATGGCTTCCCAAACCCCCCACATGTCACAATTTTGCCCTCTCCAGTCCCCAGGACTGTTTTTCGAAAAACAGCCTGTTTTTCGTGAAAATGGGGAGCGTGGGGTGGGATTTTGGTAGGCCAAAAATGGCTGTATTTGGTATATTAGACGCACCAATATTTTCACTCTCTTTTAAGGAGGAAAAAGTGTATCTTATACTCTGAAAAATATGGTAAACCAAATTCATTTCAGTGAAAAATATTCACATTTGTCTTTCCTCAGATTGGGAGGAAAAACTGGTCTGGTTCTTGTAACTGACCCTGAAAGAAATCATTAAATTAAATTTGACATAAGTGGGAGTTAGATTCTATTCGAAGTGAAGAAGAAGAATTTAACAGAAATGTATGTGATCTACAACTATATAACTCATACAGTGCTGTATGTTTTTAGATGCCTCTAAAGACACTGTGGATGGGTTGTAGTGTAAAACTATTGGACTTCGAAGAAGAGGAAATGCTACCAGATTTTACTGGTACTTATGAGAGACCTCTAGCACTCTGATCGACAACACGTGAATACTGGCAGTGTGTAAATAACGACAGACGGTCTGTGAAACAAAACTGAACACTTTCTGACTTCCCGTTTTGCAAATCCTCCCTTTTTTTTTCTTGTTGGAATCAGACTGCTTGAGTGCATTCTTCTTTCTAGGAACATTAAATCCCTTATCTTTATTATTTATTTATTTATTTATTTATTGGTTCGATTTATATGCCGCCCTTCTCCGGAGACTCAGGGCGGCTTACAATGCGTTAAGCAATAGCCTTCATACTTTTTTGTATATACCTGCTTAGTAGTATAGATTTATAGTAATATAAATCTTAGACTGATCTGTAGGAAAATGTTGAATGAGAAGAATGACTCTCTGTTTGGTGCCTACAAAGAGAAGTGAGGAATATTCTCTTTTGGTTGCCCTCTGTGACAACGTATAGGACATTAGTAATAAGAATTGATAATAGAATAGAATAGAATAGAATAGAATAGAATAGAATAGAATAGAAAATAGAATAGAATAGAATAGAATAGAATATGGAATGGGAATGGAATGGAATAGAATAGTAGAATAGAATAGAATAGAATAGAATAGAATAGAATAGAATAGAATAATGGAATGAAGAAAGAATAGAATAGAATAGAATAGAATAGAATAACAATAACAATAACAATAACAATAGAACAGAATTCAAAATAGAATAGAATAGAATAGGAACGGAACGGAACGGAACGGAACAGAATAGACTAGCACTAGCCCTTACCCTGTTTCACAGCCCTCTAAGTGGTTCACAGAGCCAGCCTATTGCCCCCAACAATCTGGGTCCTCATTTCCCTGATCTTGGAAGGATGGAAGGCTGAGTCAATCTTGAGTTGCTCAGAATCGAGCTGCTGGAGTGAACAGTGAGCTAGCCAAAATATGATTTTAGTCACACTTTGGAACTTGGATTTTACTGTTGCAGAGGCAAGAACGACCTAACTGTTTATACGTTCTACAGATAAGGTTGTCGCTGAAAAAGAAGCAACTCCAGGGTTGGTGCTGTACCACAAACAATTAAAGATCCTGATCATCCGATGCAAGGTAGGTTTGGGTGTGTGTACATGTGATATTCTTACTCCTGTTTAAGACAGACGGGGTCCCAAAATGTGTGCTGTTTCCATTTCATCTGAGAGATGAGGGAAGAGAATGCCAGTCAAATGCAACTTTTATTGCATTTTTTTTTGTTACATATTTATTTACATGTTTATTTTTGTCCCTCCTCACTACTGTTAGTATTAAACTCTTTTTATCAACTCAGTCCCTGAGTCTTCTCTGAGGAGCGTCCATAAGTTTTCTAAGTTGCCCTTTACAAATCAAAATGCATTTTTTTTTTTTAAATTGGAATTTAACAACGTCAGGATGCTGGATACTATTGTTGTGCCCGCCAGCGGCCTGTGGAGAGCTGGCAGCAGAGTCGGACAGTGAGGAGGTTGGGGAGGAACATGGGCCAGTCCTGGAATCTGGGGAAGACTCGGATGAGGGCTCTGCGTCAGAGGCAGAGAGGGGGCCAGGGCCATCTGGGAGTTATGTGCCGCCTCCGGAGCCTCCAGAGTCAGACATCAGCAAGGCAGAGGAACAGGGAGAGCCTGTTCCCAGTGCATGCATGCGCAGAGCTGCCAGAAGGCAAGAACAGTTCAGACAAAAGGGATGACTTGGGAGTAGGATGATTGGCTCTTCCCATAAGACATAAAGGAGGAGCAAAGGTACATGAGCCTTTGCAGGAAGCAACTTTGTTTGTTCTGGTCAGTTTAAATTTTGAAGCTCCATTTTGACTCTATGCTCCGTGTGGCCTTGCAAAGCTTATTGCCAATTAGGTCTTTGGCAGTATGTCAAAGGAGATAAAGGTGGGTACTTATCAGCCTTATCTCGAAGGACTGTGGCAGACTTCTGTCAGACTCTTTACAAACTATTTGTGACTCATTACGGGCTGTGAATGAACAGAATTCACAGCCGTTGAAATAAAAAGAGGGTTTTGGGGATTAATTGTGTGCTTTTTACTGTCTCAGGAAGCCTAGATCAGAACACCTATATTAGTTTCCACCTAAACTTCTTGCAATGGAATCACTTCTGGTGGGTTTGCAGAGTTTGCTAAGCTTTTGGTGCGTGTGCGCATATGTGTGTGTTCTCTCCCCTCTTTTCCCTTTCTAGGAAGGTTGGGTTGGAGTCAGATCTATTATACATAAAAAGAAATTAACGGCAACCGACTTCTACAACGGCTACCTACATTCTTGGCCACAGAACAATTCTCAAACGGCTCTCAAGAACTGCCGGTTTCAAACACTGAAGCTGACCACCGTGAAAAAGAAGCCGAAAGGTTCACCGAATGCGCAGAATAATTGTGATACAGTTTTCAGCAACGCGTGAAAGTACCAACTCTGTATGAAGAGCCAAATTGGAAGCGTCTCAGCTCGTCCCAGATTTGACCAATGGAAAACAGTGATGGGAGAAAATAAACCATTGTAAAGGCAGTGTTGTGCAGCTAATATTGTGGAATGGATAACACAAAAGACTAGTAACCTGGAGAGTGTGTTTATTCTTTGTATTTAAAGCTTCAAAACACTCTCAGCCTTGCATGTCTGATTTTTCTCAGGAGCCGTACTTTCCAGTTCTGGATCCATCTTTTACCAACTTAAAAATACAATTGAGCAGTTAAGGACACACATGTTATATTATTGAACAATAAATGGTTTTTGTACATGTTTGCGTAGGCGTATCACACAAATCATTGCGACGGCTGATATTTTAGAATGCTGACTTGTGTAATATAATTGGTTCCACGTAGGAATCTGTTCCTAATGCCCTTCAGAATCCAGAATCATCAAGGTGAGAATTCCCGATACGTAAACTTTATTGAAGAAAAGCTAACAAGAATTGTAACCAGTGGGGATACACAAGTGTAAACACACAGGGCCCTCACCCACATCTCCTTTTGCAACTTTTTCCTGCCCTATCTAATGGACTGCCTTTAGTTGCAACGGTTTTTGCAGAAGTCAAAGCTGCTATTACATTGTTTTTCACTTATACCCACAGTCACCGTTGCAATAAACCCCATCCAGTGAGAAAGGCAAACTCCTGAACGAATGGTACTGTGCCTTCAATAACCCTGGTATAATTAGATCTCATTTTCCACCCTCTGGTAATGGTATGTGTGAATGACCTTGGGGCGGGGAACTGTCAGATAAGAGGCAGCTCAGCCCTCAGAAGGAATGGGGAGTGGCCGAAAGTCTCAAAAGGGACCCTCCCTAGTTTCTTGAGCCGTAAAGGAGAAGGGGAAGAAATGGACTTTCAGACTTGCAAAACTGTGTGAAAGTAACCTAACTATAGCAAAGTAGAATTAGTTGATTTGGGTGTGTCTGGACTGCCTTACAAAGCTGGTACCTCCCTACTCTAGGAGTCTCCAAACTTGGCAACTTTTTAAGATTTTAATTTTAACTTTTAAGACTTGTGGGCTATTGTAACCAGCTTGCCCTCCGTTGACAACTTGTATATTGCACAGATCAGAAAGAGGGTTGAGAATATCTACAGATCCCTCACAACCTGGACATGAGCTGTTTCAACTCCTCTCCCCCACCCTACCTCCGGGACGCAGCTACAGAACATTGCATGCCAAAACAACTAGGCACAGAGACGGTTTTTTTCCTGCATGCCATCCCTTTGCTGAACACAATTCCCACAGCGCTGTCTTATGTCCAAGTATATTTACCCATGTAGTATGGCTGCATTAACAAAATAGAATAACAAGAGTCGGAAGGGAACTTGGAGGTCTTATAATTCAATCCCCTGTTCAGGGAACTCCCTGCTCAGAAAGCCTGCTCAGGAAGCCCTATACCATTTCAGACAAATGGTTGCCAAAACTCTAGTTAAAAACTTAGTGTTGGAGCATTCACAACTTCTGGAAGCAAGTCGTTCCACTGATTAGTTGTTCTAACTGTCAAGAAGTTTCTCCTTAGTTCTAGATTGCTTCTCTCCTTGATTAGTTCCCACCCATTGCTTCTTGTCCTGCCTTTAGGTGCTTTGGAGAACAGCTTGCCTCCCTCTTCTTTGGGGCAGCCCCTGAGATATTGGAACACTACTATCATGTCTCCCCTAGTCCTTCTCTTCATTAAACTAGATATACCCAGTTCCTGCAACCGTTCTTCATATGTTTTAGCCTCCAGTCCCCTAATCCTCTTGGTTGCTCTTCTCTGCACTCTTTCTAGAGTCTCCATATCTCTTTTACATTGTGGCGACCAAAACTGAATGCAATATTCCAAGTGTGGCCTTACCAAGGCCTTAGAAAGTGGTATTAACACTTCACGTGATCTTGATTCTATCCCTCTGTTTATGCAGCCCAGAACTGTGTAGGCTTTTTTGGCAGCTGCTGCACACTGCCGGCTCATATCTAAATGGTTGTCCACTAGGACTCCAAGATCCCTCTCACAGTTACTGCTACTGAGCCAGGTACCATCTATACTGTACCTGTCCATTTAGTTTTTCTTGCCTAAATATAGAACCTTACTTTTATCTTTCTCATCTGTTCCATTACCTTGTCTTATTGATATCATTATCGCGATTATTATTTGTTGTTTTGCATGTACACTGAGCTTCTGCAAACAAATGTTCTGCAAACATTTTAACTCCCCCCAAGTTAAAATTTAGCAAAACAAATCTTTATCTGGCAAGCAGTTTGCGTATATTTCTGTATTTTGTGTATTCTCTCTCCCATCCCTTCTGCTAATTTTCTATAACATTTAATCATTTACAGAAATGCAGGCCCATAATTATATAAATAGATCATTAATGCTTTAGCTTTTTTTTTTTAGGAATAGGCCAGCAATATTTTTAAACATAATATTTTAAAACTGGTGTTGGTTCAGAACAGTAAATTTTAACTCGGAAGGCATTTACCGGTGGCCTGGGCTGGGGACCGATGTCTATTAGCAGATATGTGGCCAGGTGAAAGCACTTGCAAAACATTTTTAAAAAATAATAAAAGAGATGGAAATTTATTGTCTTTTAATTTTATTGCTGGATTCAAGAATTTCTTTCAGGAAATAAATCTTAAATGCTGCTGGCATTCAACTTGTTAAGCCAAAGCCAAAGCCAAAAGAAATAGCACTGTGGTTTAACATACTGTGCAAACTCAGCCAATGGTGGTTTATGCAACATAAACCTTGTTTAGCATACCGTTGATGAGAATCCAAGCCTAGAAATGCTATGATTCCCCAGAAATCTTGGCTTTTAATACCCCAAAGGCAAATGACTCGATTCAATTTTATACAGGTATTATTAGCTACCAGCTGCCTATTTTTTTTTTTTGAAGTATAATTTAAATGCCTCCAATCTGGTACAGGTAATCCTCGATTTATGATCACAATTGGGGCCAGAATTTCTACTGCTAAGCAATCTGTTGTTAAGTGAGATACACCCGATTTTATGACTTTTTTTTTGCCATGGTGGTTCAGTGAATCACTGGAGTTCTTTGGCGAATCATATAATCATTAAGTGAATCCAGCTTCGTCCCTGGATTTTGTGGTTGGAAGCCAGCTGGCAGGATCGCAAATGGTGATCACATGGTCCCCCACCCACCCCCTCCCGGATGCTACAACCATTGTAAATATACTCTGGTTGCCAAGTGCCCAAATTTTGCTCGCATGAATGAGGGGGATGCTGCTACAGTCGTAAATGCAAGGACTTTTGCCAGTGCCATCATAACTTTTAGTGGCCTCTAATGAATGGGTTTAAAATTGAGAACTAGCTGTATTTTCCTGGCATGAGGGACCAACTTCCATGCTACTTGGGAATTAATATGATGGAAGTCAACACATCTGGATGGTACCAGATGGGGAAACCTGTTTGATCCATTATTGGCTCTTTGAAAATGCTTCTTGCGTTTCTCTGAAGGCCAATGAAACACCATGAAAGATATGTAAAGCATTACATAAGCAGAACCTTCCCATACCCCTCAATATTGGCAAGGATTATCTAGCTTTTTTTCTTTCTTCTTTTACTTGCTTGTCTTTTTACTATATTTTCTTTTCTTCGGATGTATTTCTTATTGCATGTGTAAACTCATTGAATAAAAACTCAAAAAGTATTGGTATGATGTGGGGTGTTTTCTAGTTCATGAATTAATAGGCGGGGGCTGGGATTCTCACAGAGCTGCCCGTTGAGAAGCAAGGGTACCAAAGCTTATTGGACTTTTTGAGGGACTCTAACTACAGGACTTTCACTTCGTCTTCTTGCGCCAGTCCTCTCTCTAGAAGGGCTTGCTGGAAACCTGCTGGGCACGTTCCTTAAGGACTGGAACACGTTTTCTCGCGTGTCTCTTTCGTGACAGTTGAACGTTAACGCAATGCCCACGTTGCTCTTCATAACTCTGGAAGAGCTGTCAGAGGTCCCATCGAAACATCGTCCCAGAGCTATTTCTTTGGCTGTCCGAGGATCTTGATCGGTCACGGTATAGATCCCATAGTTGTGTCCAAGCGGATCGAGAGGAGCCAACATTGTATATTCGCTGGAGTCATTGTTCATGGCCATGGGGAGGTGGTTTACCAGATATTCGTGCAACATGTTGTTCACATTCTCCCTGTAACAGCTGCCCTGAGGGATAATCTTCACCAGCGTCCGATCAACACGTTCTTGGTCGTACAACATGCCACTGCACTTGAACTCTAGACACGCCGTTGAAAGGTTAGGATGGCCCATAGCACGGATGCTCCTCACATCCCTGATGCCGTACAATTGGCCAACAGTCCGTGGATGGGTGCCCCCTGTGTTGCGAGATCTCACAATCAATTCAAGGGGCCCGTTGATCCTCACTTTAATATAACATGCCCTGAATTCCATTGGTTTGGGCCACCAAGCCAAGTAGTCTTCCGTCCAGTTCATGGGGTCATCCTCATTAAAAGGAACGGTGTTGTAGTCGTATTTGTCTCCTTCGACTCTGTAAAACCTGAAGTGAGCCGCGGAGGGGAGAGCAACTTCACACTCGTGCAGCTTTTCATAAGGGTATACGGGACCATTGCTCTCTCCAGCGATGTTGGGAGTAGGCTTGGCCACGTTGATCCTGAAGGCCGTTTTCTTCACGTTGGGGTCCAGATGATCTGTTCTCCTGTACTTGAGCTTGCTGAGGTACGGTTGTGGCACTCCCACAGTAAAAGGGTTAAGCTGGGGGGAGGAAGCAACCGCTTCAAGTTCTTCTCCTCCAAGACTAGCCATGATGTAGGCACTGTAAGCATCTGGATTTTGGTCATCACAGAAAGCTGGGACGCAAACACCACTAGAGCCAGTGACGGCACTATCAAAGCGCCCCCAAGCTCTGGGGTTAGTAGAGTATCCTGGGGTTGGTTCTAAGTTGATAACAGAAACCACCACACCTGCAACCTGTTCACTGGATAGGTATCTCTCGCTTCGGTAAGCACGTACCTTGATGTAGCACCGTCTGTTTTCGGGGACGTCCAAGTTGAACAGCCTCCTTTCTCGTATCTCCATGTTGCCCACCAGAAACGTCCTCTCCTCTCGCTTTCCACGCCTGCTGTGGTCCAGTTCGAAATCCCCTTCTTCCTCCCACAAACCCGTTTGTGGATTCAGAGACCAAAGTTTCATCCCTTGTAGATGTTCTGGCATTTTGATCTGAGCAGAGTCCAGGTGGACCTTCACTTGACCCGCGTTGAGCGATTCTGTGGCCGTTTCGTCCATGAAATCCATAGAAAACATGCCATACGTCCTCAGAGGAAGCATGTCCCCTTCGGCATCTACAAAATTCAAGTCAGACTGTGCAGTGGCTGCACCGGAGACATTTCTGGGGTCCAGGAAAGTCACGCTGGCTTTCACTTTCCCTGCGTAGAGTTCTCCGTTCAGTTTGTAAAATGTATTAGGAGGGATTTCAAGTTCAGCGATCGGATCTTCTCCCTCCATTTCTCCCAAGGAAATCATGTTGGTCTCTGTGGATTCTAGTGTGATCGGTGGCTTTTTCCTTAACATCCTGACCTCGTGGAAGACTGCCCCGCCATTTCTATTGAACGGCAACACTTTGGTGGTGTTTACAAATTTCTGCATGCGGTCCACAAAGGTGAGGACCAGTCTCTCGGTGTCTGGGGGCACTTGCACAGAAAAAGTGCCCTTGTAGCCCGTCATGCTGATCCTGTTGCTCCCCATGTAGATGTGACCAAACCTCATGGGCTCTCCCGTATCAGACGCCACAGCTCTTCCTCGCACAGTGACCTTGACCTCGGTGCACTTCTGGCAGCCACATTCCACCGTGACCTTGATGGGAAGGGTGTAGCCGGCACATGTTATATCCCGTGTTTCCATCTTGGAGACCCCACAGCAGTAAGTGATGGTGTCCTTGCACCAGAAACCTTCACGTAACGTTCCGGAGCATGTCGTAGGCAAACATCTACCAACATCGTAGTAGAAAGAATTGGTTGAGTTTTGAAAGCAATCATGGGGCAGTTGGATATGATAACTCTCGGGCCTGGAGTCACAGGATGCTCGGTTCTTTCCTGTTAAAATCAATTCCATAGGTTACTTATCAAGTTGTGGCCATCTCACTGGTAAGAGTTGTCTTAAACCAGGGATGGTCTACCTTTTCATTGGTGGTAAGGTCACTTTTTACAAAGATCACAATACGGAGCAGGAGGAACCTGCAAATGGGCAACTTCATACAGTGAGGGGACACCGGGACTTGTTCTAGATAAGAGAAATATGGCATCTTGGATTTTTCTAGACTTCTTTCTAAGATAGAGAAAAGGGCATCTTGGATTTTTTTTTACTTTTTTCTAGACAGACAAAAGGGCATCTTGGGTTTTTCTTTTTCTAGATAAAGGGAAAAGGGTGTCCAGGATTTTTCTAGACTTTTTTCCTAGATAGAGGAAAAACATCTTGGATTGTTCTTTTTTCTAGATAGACAAAAAAGGGCATCTTGGATTTTTCTAGACTCCCCCCCCCCTTTTTTTTTTTTTTAGATAGTGAAAAGGGCATCTTGGATTTTTCTAAACTTTTTTCCTAGATAGAGAAAAAGGGCGTCTTGGATTTTTACCCCGTTAATAAAAATGCTAAACCCAGGTGGAGGAGCGGAGTGACAGTTTCTTTATAATCCTGCCTCAAAAGAGCAAAAATCCTTTCGTCCACTTTGATTTAACCCTGGTTTGAGTTATAAGAAAAGCCCTCACAAAAGTAGAAAATGCAGGTGGTCCTCGAGTTATGACCACAATTGAGCCCAAAATTTCTGCCGCTGAGAGAGACCGTTGTTAAAGTGAATTTTGCCTGATTTTACGACCTTTCTTGCCTTTCTTCTCTCCTTGCTTAGTTTCCATCCGTTGTTTCTTCTCTTGTCTTCTGGTGCTTTGTAAAATAGCTTGACCCTCCCTCTTCTTTATGGCAACTGTAATAATAATACCTACCACCATCACCAGCCATTCCAGATCTGAGTATTTTACGGATCCCTGGGCCACATCTTGACTTTTGCCTGTCCCTGCCCAGCCTGTGTGAATTGCTTTTATCTCCTGCCCCCAATTTATGCATTTACATCGGGGTGGATTCTACTTACCTTTACTACTGGTTCGCAACGGGGTCGCACACGCGCAAATCATCATTTATAATGTCTGGGCTGGTGGGCAAAGCCTCCCGCCGATTTTACTACTGGTTCTATCAAACCGGACAGAACCGGGAGAAACCCACCACTGATATACATGCATGCGTGCTTAAACACCTTCACAGCTCTATTGGTTTGGCTCTACACAACAGTCCAGTTTCTCATTTGGCCACTTGGGGAAAATTAATTGCTCATCTCTGACCTATCCTACTTCTTGCTCCCTCCGAGGTCTTCCCCCCGAAAACAACTCACCTATGAGAGAAAGGGTTGCGCTTTGGGACTTGACCGAACCAGCTTCATTGCTGGTCTTACAAAAATATCGTCCGGTTTGGTTCATCTTCAAATTCTTCAAAATCAAGTTGCTTTTATATTTATAAAGGGCAGGGTCCAGCAGAGTATCGTTGTGGAACCTATAAGAAAGATCAGAACGGCAACTCAGAAACGAAACTATCTTCTGTCTAGGGCAGGGGTGGGCTTCAAAAATTTTAGCAAGGGGGTTTTCTGCCTGGTCGCTGGGTGGGTGTGGCCATGGTGGGCGTGGCCTAGTCACAGTGGTGGGATTCAGCCAGTTCGCACCACTTCGGGAGAACCGGTTGTTAACTTTCTGAGCAGTTTGGTGAGCTGGTTGTTGGAAGAAATTATTAGGGCAGAGAACCGGTTGTTAAATTATTTGAATCCCACCACTGGCTAGTCGGCCTGCACCTCCATGTGAGTGAGGGGGTGTTTTTGCCCTCCCCGGGCTCCAGAGGTCTTCCTTGAGTCTCTGGGAGGGTGAAAACGGCCTACCCAGACTCTGGAGGCCAGAAACGGGCCCGTTCCCGAACTTCCAGCAGGCCCATTTTTCGCCTTCCCCGAGTCTCCACATGCGTCCTGCACTTACCTGCATCCAAAATGGGCCGCATGGGGACTCCTGGGAGGGGAGGGGCAGGCGGGGCCAGCCAGGAGTGGGATTTGAGGGTTCTCCGAACTGCACAGAACCTTAGCTAGAGGTTCTCCCGAACCCCTGCAAACCCCCAGCAGCCCACCCCTGGTCTAGGGGTCTACAGCAGGTGTTTCTCGGATACCTCCCCCCCCCCAATTGTTCTGAATTTGGAAGAAATGGCTGCGAAAAATAGTTGTCTCACCAGGCAAGTTGAGCTATAAAGTTAACTTAAGGCAGTTTGTCTCAACCTGGTTAACTTTACAAGGCTGGGCCTAACTGCAGCTAACTCAGGAAGTGGGGGTAGAGGATTGGGGGTGTCTCCATCCCCTGCTTTCTGCAACAATGCATTGCAACAGTATTGTAAATGCACATTTCTTCCAGATTTTGCCATCTAGTGAGGTTATCCAAGAAGGACGTCCACAAAGACGAGGACTGACTTTATTTTCCAAAGCACAAGAAGGCAAAATAAGAAACAGTGGTTGGAAACTAATCAGGGAGAGAAGCAACCTGGAACTAAGGAGAAATTTCCTGACGGTGAGAACAATCAATCAGTGGAATGGTTTGCCTTCAGGGCTTGTAGGTGCTCCATCGCTGGAAGCCTTTAACAGAAACTGGACATTCATTGGTCTGAAATGATATAGGGTTTCCTGCTTGAGCAGCGGGTTAGACTGGAAGGGGTGTCGGCAACCTGTGGCTCCGGAGCCGTATGCAGCTCTTTTGTCCCCATGCTGTGGCTCCCTGTTGGCTGAACCCACCACTGGCTGGTCCCGCTCCTCACCCTCCTCTCCCAGTCACTCCTTGCCTGGCGTGAGAAGATAAGGGTGACGGCAGGGGATGGAGATTCTCTCCATATTCCAGAGCAGGAGCGAGGCGCTCCTGTACTTGCTGACTATATATAGTCAGATGCCACTGGCTCTTTTTATGAGAGAGAGAGAAAGAGAGAGAGAGAGAGAGAGAGAGAGAGAGAGAGAGAGAGAGAGAGAGAGAGAGAGAGAGAGCTTTAGTCCGCTGCTCCACCAAGGCTCCACCAATCAGCCTATCTTTCCTCCTGTAACCCCATTTTAGTGTCTTACCACCAATATCTGCCAGGTGATGGATTTCCAGTGGCGTGACAACAGAATGACACACTCTGACCCTCTCTTCTGGCTTTGTTTTCTGGATGCATCGTCATGTATGGTTTTTCTGAAAGAGGGAAAAAAAAAAAACATTTGAACCTTTCCTCACCAATTGCAACGGCCAGATTTGCTACCTTCCATGTTTTGACTCATTCAGAAGATCCTGTAAGAATCTCAGGGGTGCCATTCAGCAGGTTCTGACAGGTTCTGGAGAACCGGTAGCGGAAATTTTGAGTAGTTCGGAAAACCGGCAAATACCACCTCTGGCTGGCCCCAGAGTGGGGTGGGAATGGAGATTTTGCAATATCCTTCCCCCAGGAGTGGGGAGAGAATGGGGATTTTGCAATATCCTTCCCCTGGAGTGGGGTGGGAATGGAGATTTTGCAATATCCTTCCCCCAGGAGTAGGGAGGGAATTGGAATTTTGCAGTATCCTTCCCCTGCCACGTCCACCAAGCCACACCCACAGAACCGGTAGTAAACAAATTTGAATTTCACCACTGTGTAAGATGGATGTACAGCATGCTAACCTCAACCCCTTACAGAAACATGGACTTCAGTGCCTAGAATTTCCCCGCCGGTGGGATCATTGCTGAGAATTTTTGAGACGAAGTCCAACACATCGACATGGAATCCAGTCTGGGAAAAGTTGACTCGATTCGATGGGCAGCTGAATCTTGCTTCAGATAAAGGTAACAAACCTACCCGAAAGTCCTTCCTCCTCTTATTTTTACCCCCTCAAAGACAACAAGCCTTGTGAGATGGGTTGGGACTGAGAAAGAGATCTTCTGACAGATCTGCTCTCTGCTATTAGAACATAGAAAGTAGATAAATCAAACTGGAAGGACATTGGAGGTCTTCTAGTCCAGAATTCCCAGAATTCCCCAGTTGGGAGTTGAAGTCCGCCAGGCTTAAAGTTGCCAAGGTTGGAGACCCCTGTTCTAATCTAATCTTTTTTTTTTTTTTAATTTGATTTATACGCCGCCCTTCTCCAGAGACTCAGGGTGGCTTACAGTGCATTAAGCAATAGCCTTCATACTTTTGTATATTTTATACAAAGTCAGCTTATTGCCCCCACAATCTGGGTCCTCATTTTACCTACCTTAGAAAGGATGGAAGGCTGAGTCGACCTTGAGCCTGGCGAGATTCGAATTTACTTTAATTGCAGACAGCTGGTGTTAAATTACAGTGCCTTTGTCTGCAGAGCTATCCAGGCTCTGTAGACTCCCTGCTCAAGCAGGATATCTTATACTATTCCTGACAAATGGCTGTCCAGTCTCTTCTTGAAAAGCTCCAGCGATGGAGCTCCCACAACTTCTGGAGGTAGGCCATTCCGGTGATTGATCGTTCTCATTGTCAATAAATTTCCCCTTAGTTGTAGGTTGATCTCTTTAATGATCTTCCACCCATTTCTTCTTGTCCTGTCCTCTTATGCTTTGGAAAATAAAATAAAATCTTCTCTGCCCCTCAAGTACTAGAAGTCTGCTATCGTAACACCCATGGTCCTTTTGTTTTACATAATCAGGGCGCATAAGAGCCGAGGTGGCGCAGTGGTTAGAGTGCAGTATTGCAGTCTACTTCAGCTGACTGCTAGCTGCACTTCAGCAGTTCAAATCTCACCAGGCTCAAGGTTGACTCAGCCTTCCATCCTTCCGAGGTGGGTAAAATGAGGACCCAGATTGTTGGAGGCAATAGGCTGACTCTGTAAACTGCTTAGAGAGGGCTGTAAAGCACTGTGAAGCAGTATATAAGTTTAAGTGCTATTGCTATTCCTTCCTTCCTTCCTTCCTTCCTTCCTTCCTTCCTTCCTTCCTTCCTTCCTTCCTTCCTTCCTTCCTTCCTGTACAGTGGTTAGAATGCAATATTGCAGGCTGACTCTGCCCACTGCCAGCAGTTCAATCCTGACTGGCTCAAGGTTGACTCAGCCTTCCATCCTTCCGAGATGGGTAAAATGAGGACCCAGATTGTTGGAGGCAATGGGCTGACTCTGTAAACTGCTTAGAGAGGCCTGTAAAGCACTGTGAAGAGGTATATAAGTTTAAGTGCTATTGCTATTCCTTCCTTCCTTCCTTCCTTCCTTCCTTCCTTCCTTCCTTCCTTCCTTCCTTCCTTCCTTCCTTCCTTCCTTCCTTCCTTCCTTCCTGTACAGTGGTTAGAATGCAGTATTGCATGCTAATTCTGCCAGCTGCCAGCAGTTCAATCCTGACTGGCTCAAGGTTGACTCAGCCTTCCATCCTTCCGAGGTGGGTAAAATGAGGATCCTGATTGTTGGGGGCCATAGGCTGATTCTATAAACTGCTTAGAGAGGGCTGTGAAGCACTATGAAGCAGTATTTAAGTCTAAGTGCTATTGCTATAAGCGTGCATGTGAGAGCAATTCTGATTACATATCAGAATGCTGATATGCTCATGCATGACAGTTATCACAGTCCAATCCTACGGAACCGCAAGACTCATGAAGTCTATTCTGCCGCTGAATTGGGGCCCAAGGATTCCTTACCTGCTCTTTTCAAGTAGATACGGACAGCCGAGTAATTTTCAGCACTCTCTGACAAAGTGATCACAGCCGTCGCATACTTGGATTTTTTAATTTGCAGGGCGGTTTTTCCATCGGGGCACACGCCAGGGATCTTGAAGGCCCCATTGTGGCCTGACTCTGTTAAGAACTTCGATGGCTTCGCTTGCAGATAGAGGTGGGCTCCAGCTGCCGGGGCGCCATCTTGAAGGGCAACGGTGCCATGGAGTAAATGTTCTTGACAGAAACATGCGCTGCAGTCGGCATTCGCCCAACCCCTGGAGCACATCATGTTGCAAACTGAAAGGTGTAAGAAAAGCATGAGTGACTCCAGATTATTATTATTATTGTTATTTTTGTCTCTTTCTCTCTAAAATCAGACAGATGAGGAGGAAGAGGAAACAAACAAGTCATTTTTCACTCTGGACAGGGGCGAAATGTAAAATTTGTTATTACCGGTTCTGTGGCATGGCTTGGTGGGGGGAAGGGGGTGTAATGTGACTGGGTGGGCATGGCCAACTTTTTTTTTTTTTAACTTTTCAAAGCATTTTTTCTACAACCTCTTCAGCCGAAGAGGTTGCAAAAAAATGCTTTGAAAAGCCTCTGCCGATCCGGCAACTCAGCTGGGATCGTCAGAGGCTTTTCAAGGCATTTTTTTTTACCACCTCTTCGGCTGAAGAGGTTGCAGAAAAAAATGCTTTGAAAAGCCTTTGACGATCCCAGCTGAGCCGCAGGATCATCAGAGGCTTTTTTTTTTTTTACTTTTAAAAGCATTTTTTCGGCCAAAGAGGTTGTAGAAAAAATGCTTTTAAAAGTTTTTTTTTTAAAAAAGCGTCTGATGATCGTACGGCTCAGCTGGGCATGGTGGGGGGGGGCAGGGATTTTTGCTACCGGTTCTCCGAACCACCCACCTCCATCGCTACCAGATTGGGTGATCCGGTCCGAACCGGGAGCATTTCACCCCTGCTTCTGGATGCGGGTTTTCCAAACCTCACCAAAATGCCAAAAAGATCTCAGCAATTTAGCAGGCTAAATCAGTGTTTCTCAACCTCATCCACTTTAAGATGTGTGGACTTCAACTCCCAGAATCCCCCAGCCAGCTGTTCTACAATTCTGGGAGTTGAAGTCCACGCATCTTAAAGTGGATGAGGTTGAGAAACACGGAGCTAAACCAGAGTTTAATTTGTGTGTATTGTTTAATGGACTTCTAAGTTGGCCATGCCCACCAAGTCACATGACCACCTAGCCATGCCCACCCAGCCAGTCTGGCCGCCCCAACAGTCTGAGGGACTTTGAATTGTTTAAAAAGTTTGAGGACCCCTGCCCTATACAGACCTTTCTCATGGTACAAGTCAGTGGTGCGTTTCAAATTTTTTTACTACCGGTTCTGTGGGTGTGGCTTGGTGGGCATGGCAGGGGAAGGATACTGTAAAATCTCCATTCCACCCCACTCCAGGGGAAGGTTACTGCAAAAATCCCCATTTCCTCCTGATCAGCTGGAAGTCGGGAGGCAGAGAATAGATGGGGGCGGGACCAGTCAGAATTTTTACTACCGGTTCTCCAGAACTGGTCAGAACCTGGTGAAACTCACCTCTGGTACAAGTACAACTGGGGCAACCTCTTTTCTGCTGGATCTCCAAGATGTTTTTGTTTTTTTAATTTGATTTATATGCCGCCCTTCTCCAGAGACTCAGGGCAGCTTACAATGCATTAAGCAATAGCCTTCTTACTTTTGTATATTTATACAAAGTCAGCTTATTGCCCCCACAAACTGGGTCCTCAATTTACCTACCTTAGAAAGGATGGAAGGCTGAGTCAACCTTGAGCCTGGCAAGATTCGAACTTACTTTAATTGCAGACAGCTGGTTTTAAATTACAGTGCCTTGTCCGCAGAGCTATCCAGGCTCTGCGGATCTTATCTCCAGCCCCTGAGAGAGGCAGGCTTAAGCCCTCTTTCACTTGTGTAGTCAAAGCTGCTTCCCCCTTTTTCTACAGCAGCCCCTTCCCTGCTTTAGATGTCGCTGGCTCCATGCGTATTGCTGAACTTAATTGCACGGCCATCAGGTTCTTAGCAAATACCTTTGCAAGGGGGTCCCAGGCAAGCCCTCTCTTCCTCGCTGATGTCCTTGCAGCGCGGATCCATGAAAGTATCCGCAAGGCACATCCTTCTCCGAGTCTGCACACCGGCTCGGTCACATTTTCCAGAACAGGAGCTCCACGTTGACCACGATGACCAGACGGACTTGGAATTTCCAGCCAAAAACCCTGGAAGGGAGACACAGCCAGCAGCCATCTTAGGAGGTTGAGCAAGATGAGTCTGAGAAGACTTGAAAAGACTTATTATTATTATTATTATTATTATTATTATTATTATTATTAGTTAATCTTTAGTGAGATTCACAGCCTTTGAGGCTGGTTAATAACTCAGCAGCTCGAGTCCTAACCAAGGTCCTAGGAACTGTTAAGGTATCGTCGGAGGATGTAAGCTGTTCCAAGTAAGGTGGTTTTTTGTAGAGTCAAAATGCTCAAGTCCGATAAATTTATTTTTTTATTATTATTATTATTATTATTATTATTATTATTATTATTATTATCATATCATCATCATCATCATCATCATCATCATCATCATCATCATCTTAATAACCATGTTACTAACTGAATAATTGCAGCGATTCACTGAACAACTGTGCAAGAAAGGTCGTAAAATGGGGCAAAAAAACTCACTTAACCGATGCCTCACTCAGCAACGAAAACGTTCGGCTAAAATTGTGGTCGTAAACCGAGGACTCCCTGTATTTGCCCAACCCCCTCCTGAAAAATTAAATACCGCTCTTCCGAAGGACAGAGAAAACGCACTGCATAATTGAAGCACGTTTGCCCGGGGGCTGCTCCTTATTCAGGCACCAGAATCCCTCGTGGACACTGGAGTGGACCACCTGGCCCGAACTGGTGGCGGGGACCCAGTCGGTGGTCCGGGCTTCGATCTGGATGGGACTTGGACACACCCTGTTCCGGTAATAGAAGCGAATGGCATCTAAGCGCTCGTAATCCCCGTTCCCACCGGGATGATCAATGTTGAACCAGCTGGTCCACGTTTCTTGGTCTAAAGAAGAAAGAGAGAAGATTCTATTCCTCTGCATAAACAGAGGAATACAATCAAGATCACGTGAAGTGTTTATACCACTTTATAAGGCCTTGGTAAGGCCACACTTGGAATATTGCATCCAGTTTTGGTCGCCATAATGTAAAAAAGATGTGGAGACTCTGGAAAGGGTGCAGAGAAGAGCCACAAAGATGATTAGGGGACTGGAGGCTAAAGCATATGAAGAACGGTTTCAGGAACTGGGTATGTCTATTTTGATGAAGAGAAGGACTAGGGGAGACATGATAGCAGTCTTCCAATATCTCAGGAGCTGCCACAAACAAGAGAGAGTCAAGCTATTCTCCAAAGCACCTGAGGGCAGGACAAGAAGCAATGGGTGGAAACTAATCAAGGAGAGAAGCAACTTAGAACTAAGGAGAAATTTCCTGACAGTCAGAACAATTAACCAATGGATCAACTTGCCTCCAGAAGTTGTGAATTCTCCAACACTGGAAGTTTTTAAGAAGATGTTGGATAACCATTTGTCTGAAGTGGTATAGGGTTTCCTGCCTGGACAGGGGGGTTGGACTAGAAGACCTCCAAGGTCCCTTCCAACTCTGTTCTTTTATTCTATTCTATTCTATTCTATTCTATTCTATTCTATTTATTCTATTCTATTCTATTCTATTCTATTAAGGCGAACTGCATATTGTATGGCCACAGAAAGGGATATTGTCATCAGTAGTGATATCCAGCCGGTTCTATCCGGTTCGGGCGAATCGGTAGCGGTGGCTGCAGGAGACGCCGCCCACCTACCCGGACATCATCACATCCCATTTTTGAGGCTCTGCGCATGTGTGGAGGTGGCATGCGCATGCTCACATTTGCGAACCGGTAATGAAGGTAAGTGAATACCATGCCTGATTGTCATCCTTACTATTGTAGGAAGGAAAATCCGGGTCCAGTTCCAAGCCGGGAATAAAATGGAGGTGCTTTTTGCCAAGTGAAACATTTTACTGAGTTGTAAGATAAAATAAAGAAACAAAATACAAAAGTAAATAGGAAAGCAGTGGGAGAAAGCTGGGAGTAGAGAAGCGAGGAAGGGTTGGGAAAAAGAAAGAGAAGAGTTGACTTCCAACTCTCTCTGTTGCAGTAGAATAAAGCCTTAACATCAAACCACAACTTTTTGGAGGCTTTTTTTCCATCATAATATAAACTAACCGTTTTCATTTATCAATCTAATCGGGTAAACCCAATATCAAAGTTTTACTCTTTTCCACTTCAAGCACAAAGTTCAGAAGCGGTCTCCAGGGGGAAACAAAAGCATTAATATTATTTTCTTTAATCAAAATAGTCAATTTTGCCATTTCAGCCAACTCCATCAGCTTCTGCAGCCATTCGCCCATCCTGGGAATTGAAGTGTCCTTCCATTTTTGTGCATATAATAATCGTGCTCAACAGTGATGAAATCCTATTTTTTTTTACTACCGGTTCTGTGGGCATGGCTTGGTGGGCATGATGTGGCTTGGTGGGCGTGGCTTAGTGGACATGGCAGGGGAGGCATACTGCAAAATCCCCATTCCCTCCCCACTCCAGGGGAAGGATACTGCAAAATCCCCATTCCCTCCCCACTCCTGGGGGAAGGATATTGCAAAATCTCCATTCACACTGCACTCTGGGGCCAGCCAGAGGTGGTATTTGCTGGTTTTCCAAACTACTCAAAATTTCCACTATCGGTTCTCCAGAACCTGCTGGATTTCACCCCTGGTGCTCAACATATCAAAGTTTCAATTATTTTTTCTCCAAGTCTTTTTCTATTAGACCCAAAAGGGAAGTTTCTGGTTTCATCTTTATCTTCATTTCCAGAATTTTCTGTATTAAAATATGAATCATGTTCCAATTGTTTTTTGTTTTTTTTGCTTCATCACATGTCCACCATAAAGGATAGAAAGTCCCTTCTTTACTTTTACACTTCCAACATTCATTTGACATGCCTTCATACATCTTTGATAGCTTATCTGGCATTAAATTTATTTTTATTTTATTTTTATTTTATTCTGAATTTGTATACCGCCCTTCTCCCTGAGGACTCAGGGCGGTGAACAGCCAAGTAAAAACATCAAATACAAATATTAAAATACAGTTAAAATATACATATATAAATTTGGCCCCATTAATTAAAAACAATAAACAAAACACTTAAAAACACTTAAAAAAATTAGGCCAGCCCGGCTTGCTGGAAAAGGAAGGTTTTAAGGGCACGGCAGAAGGCACCGAGGTCTTGGATTCTCCTTATCTCTGGAGGCAATTGATTCCAGAGGGTAGGTGCCCCCACAGAGAAGGCCAGCAATACATCATCTTATAAATTTTTTCTTTTAAATTATCCAGGTTCAGTTCCAAGCCGGGAATAAAATGGAGACTGCTTAAGATAGAAAGGTGCTTTTTCAGGAGGCAACAGGACTTTCTTGGGTTTTTTTCCCTTTGAAGACGTTTCACTTATCATCCAAGAAGCTTCTTCAGCTCTGACAGGATGGTGGGGAATGGAAGGATTTATATTCCTTGCAGACAGCTGGAGATTTGCATCCTTTTAGAGGGTCGTTGAAGCACTTGGAAGTTTATCTGTGTCCTCAGGATCACCTGAATGGTGCTCCTGGTTCCTGTAATATGCAATTTTTCTAGAAATATGTTCATGTTCCCACACCATTCCAAGAATGTCCATCCCAAATTGTATAGCTCAGTCATCCAGGTCATGGTTGTCCCAAAGATGCTTTTTTCAGGAGGCAACTGGACTTTCTTATTTTTTCTTTTGAAGACGTTTCGCCTCTCATCCAAGAAGATTCTTCAGCTCTGAATGGATGGTGGAGAATGGAAGGGTTTGCAAATTTTCTGGAAATCCATTCATACTCCCACACCATTCGAAGGGTGAAATCCTTCCATTCTCCAACATGAATGGAGTTCAGAGGTGGGTTTCAGCAAGTTCTGACCAGTTCTGGAGAACCGGTAGCGGAAATTTTGAGCAGTTCGGAGAACCGGTAGTAAAAATTCTGACTGGCCCCGCCCCCATCTCTTCTCTGCCTCCCGAGGCTCAGATGATCGGGAGGAAATGGGGATTTTGCAGTAACCTTCCCCTGGAGTGGGGAGGGAATGGAGATTTTACAGTATCCTTCCCCCTGGAGTGGGGACGGAATGGAGATTTTACAGTATCCTTCCCCTGCCATGCCCAACATGCCCAACAACCCACAGAACTGGTAGTAAAAAAAATTTGAAACCCACCACTGATGAAGTTAGGAGAAGCTCTCTTTTGTCCACAGCATTTTGTGTTTAAGGATAGCCTGCATATTTCACTCAGAATGGGGATTAAGGCTACACATAGCTTTTAAAAATATCTGTTATTTTAAACACTTTGTGTTTGCGGCAATTAATCTAACATTAATCTTCAGAGTAAACTACTTGGTAAAACTGAGATTCCCTGTTGTGATTTACGATGTCAGGAAATCTCTGACTTATAAACTGTTGACAACTACTGTAGACTTGGCTTTAGCTTTTAACAAAAAGAGACGATCTGTTTCTAGGGGTGTTAGCCAGAACGAATTAAGCTTTAGCAAGGATTAATCTGTTTTCCATTATCGAAGGGCACAGAGACAGACTGACAGGATCTTTCATAAATTAACCCACTTTAATTTGTTGTTTAAAACCTAATAACAAGCATATGGCATCTTAATTCTTTCTTAAAACAGAACTGCATGGAGTGGAAAATGACTTACTGTCTGAATTGTGTTTGGTCAAAAGACTGTAGGGCTTTCGTCCATTGGAGATCCAGCTCACTGATTGTTTTAAAATCCGTTCACCTTAGGGAGGGGAAAAACAGAAACAAACAAAAAAAAATTTGCTGTAAAAAAAAAGAATAGGCTGTTTTTAAATTCTGGCTCCCCACCCCCCCAAATGCTGAGGCCAAGAAATTAGGGTGAGCCCAACGAGTAGGCTGAATGAGATATGTCACTTGCTGTCCATTTTGGCACACTGAATATTGTTTAATCAATGTTGTTGTTTTTAGAGTTGTTTTAATTCTGGTTTTATTTTGGCTTTCTGTGTTTCTTTTGTTTTTGTTTTTTAGCTCACTCGAATATATTCTGAATTGTGAAAATGAGATGTTGGGATATAAATTGCTTAAATAAACAAACTAACCTTAAAACACTGGAAGTTTTAAAGAAGAGATTGGATAACCATTTGTCTGAAGTGGTGTAGGCTTTCCTACCTAAGCAAGGGGTTGGACTAGAAGACCTCCAAGGTCCCTTCCAACTCTGTTATTCTATTCTATTCTATTCTATTCTATTCTATTCTATTCTATTCTATTCTATTCTATTCTATTCCATTCCATTCCATTCTATTATGTCAAGGACTATCTGTAGCCACACCAGGCCATGTAATGTCAGGGAGAGTTGCTTTGTACCACAGCTAATAGCAGTCTCAGCAACTGTACAGTAGCAAGGGAAGATTTTATGAAAAAATATTATAAAATAGAAATTAATAACATAAAACCTAAAGGGTAGGGTCACCCTCGGGTCACCCTAAACCTAAACCTGCTTGTTTTCTCCAAGAATGGCCCCTGGATTTGAAACGCCGGTCAACCATTCGACCGGATGGTATAAGTTCTCTTGCCTTGAGCAGGGGGCTGGACTGGAAGATCTCTGAGGCCCCTTCCAACTCTCTCATTCTATGTTCTATGCCAGGGGTCTGCACCCTTAAACAATCAAAGAGCCATTTGGACCTGTTTCCCACAGAAAAGAAAACATCGGGAGCCACAAAGCCTGGGTGGGTGTGGCCAACTCGATGTCACTCACTCCCACCCAGTCACATGACACCAGCCACACCTACCCAAGTTTTGTGGCAAAAAGGTTAGCCATCATTGCTCTATACCATTTCAGACAAATGGTTGTCCAATCTCTTTTTTAAAACCTCCAGTGTTGGAGCTCCCACAACCTCTGAAGGCAACTTCTGTTCCATTGGTTGATTGTTCTCACTGTCAGAAAGTTCCTCCTCATTTCTAGGTTGAATCTCTCCTTGGTCAGTTTCCATCTATTGCTTCTTGTAATGATTTAAAATTGAGGACTTGTATACTGCACGACTTCGCAACTAACAACAACAACAAATACTCCACGAGTCAAAAAGAGGGCTGTGAAAATATCTACAGACCCCTCACATCCTGGACATAAACTGTTTCAACTTCTACCCTCAAAATGATGCTATAGAGCACTGCACATCAGAACAACTAAACACAAGGACAGTTTTTTTCCCAAATGCCATCACTCTGCTAAACAACTAATTCCCACAACACTGTCAAATTAATTACTAAGACTGTATTACTATTCTTCTTCTCATCCTTACTAGTACCTGTCTCTTCCCACTTATGGCTATATCCATGTTGCTTGTATCTTTACAACTTATATTGTTTTATTGTTTCCTAGTATGATTTGATTGCTTATTAGTATCCTACACTAAGTGTTGTATCTTATGATTCTTGATGAATATATTTTATTTTTTCTTTATGTACACTGAGAGCATACACACCAAAGACAAATTCCTTGTGTGTCCAATTACACTTGGCCAATAAAGAATTCTATTCTATTCTATTCTATTCTATTCTATTCTATTCTATTCTATCTTCGAGACTGCCTTCTGCCTCCCGCTGGCCAGTACGCTCCCACAGAGAGGGGCTCCTTGGGGTGTCGTCAGTCAAACAGTGTCGGCTGGCAGCCCCCAGGGGGAGAGCCTTCTCTGTGGGGGCACCTGCCCTATGGAACTAATTGCCCCCGGAGATAAGGAGGATTCCAGATCTACACACCTTCCGCCGCGCCCTCAAGACCTTTCTATTCCAACAAGCCGGGCTGGCCTAACTCTTTTAATTGAGTAATTTAGTTCTTAATTTGATTTTAAATTGGGGGTGTTTTAATTGTCGTGGGCCAATACTATTTAATTTGTTTTAAACTATTTTTAAATTTTGTATTCTATGTATTTTTATCTTCGGCTGTTCACCGCCCTGAGTCCTTCGGGAGAAGGGCAGTATATAAATTTGAAAAATAAATAAATAAATAAATAAATAAATAAATAAATAAATAAATAAATAATATTCTATTCATATCCTGCATATATTTTAACCTTAGAGCCTTGGTATTAGAGCCTTGGTAGTACAGGGGTTTAAGGCACCCTGTTATTAAGCTGGTTATTAAGACCAGCTGCCTGCAATTACTGCAGGTTCGAATCTCGCCAAGGCTCAAGGTTGACTCAGCCTTCCATCCTTTCTAAGGTAGGTAAATTGAGGACCCAGTTGTGGGGGCAATAAGCTGACTTTGTATAAATATACAAAAGGATGAAGGCTATTGCTGAGCACATTGTAAGCCGCCCTGAGTCTCCGGAGAAGGGCGGCATATAAATCAAATTTAAAAAAAACAAAAACAAAAACCTAGCCATGCATTTATCCATATAGTGATAATATTCAGATATACTGTCCCAAAGGTGCTTTTTCAAGAGGCAACTGGACTTTCTGGTTTTTCTTTGAAGACGTTTCGCTTCTCTTGAGAACTGAAGAAGCTTCTTGGATGAGAAGCGAAATGTCTTCAAAGAAAAACCAGAAAGTCCAGTTGCCTCTTGAAAAAGCACCTTTGGGACAACCATGACCTGGATGACTGAGAATCTCCATAGACATTCAGATATATTCATACAGCTTTCTTGGCAGCTCAAGGGAAGGGGCTTGGCATTCCGTTTTTTTTCTGGAAAGAACTCAGTTGAAAACTATTTTTCCCATCATTGAGTCTAGAAAAAAGCATTTTATTATTGACCAAAAGCTTTACGGTTCAGTCTGTTTATCTCATTTTCTCCAAATAGATAGGAGGGTTTTGCTCCAGTAGCTCAGATGAGAGTTAGATTTTGGATAGTAGGGAAGCACTGGGCAGGAACAGATCCAGTTGCAAATCCTGCAGCTATAAAAGTGTACAAAACACTTGGATTAATCTTTACAGAAAAATGTCATGCATCTGGCATCTAAGACTTGTTTGGCGTAGACATTGTAACCCAGTCACAAAGAACTAAACTCACGGGTCAGTTTTAAGCTCTCTTTTCCTAAACCCTGCAAATGTTTGAGAAGATAGGTGTCAGCCAATAATTATAATAATGATGTAATCATGACTAATAATTAATTAAAATAATAATCAACCGAACCTAGTCAAAGCGGAAAGGCAGGCAGTTCGATGCAGACTGGGAGAGTACAGCTATGATGGCCATATTTTCTTGGAAAAAACAAAGGACTTGGGGAAAAAAAGGAGCAAATTTGAAACAGGTTCATATAAGACTAAACAAAAAATTGTTTATGTTTATAACTTTGCTTTACAAAGGGAAATTCGGGAGCAAAGCCTGGAAACATTTTACAAAATTGTGTATTCTAATAAAAACTTCTAAAATCAAACAGATGTAAATTTACTTTAAAAAGGCAATTCGTCTTCCCTATTTTTCACATTCTAATATGAAAGACTGTGCATTAAATTGTACTATTTGTATGGTAAAAGTTCAACGACTAAAATAAAAGACAAGTCCTTTTTAACTAAAGAGATGTAGATTATATTCAAACAACATGTTTAACTAAATTAATAAAAATGTGACATGAACTCCAAATATTAAACTTGGTTAACTTTCCTTATGGGTGGTCTTAATAACATAAAAATGAAAAGATGGGAAAATATGCTTCCAGATGATTTTGATTAAAGAAGACATTGAAGGACTGGGCTAATTTTATACTAATACAATATTAATAATTTACAGATTTTTCCCCCCTTCCTTTCTTTTTTGGGTCTTTATCTATTCATTTCATTCATTGTACCATAATCTATACTAAAATATATAGAAACATATTGGCTTCTCTTTTGGTGACAATATATCGCATGAACCCAGCATTTCTGGCTTATTTGTGGTTTGTTGTGAATCAGAAAATAAATTAAACGTACTGTTTGAAAACAAAAAGTTATATTCTCAATGTTACCAAACCATGAAAAATCAATGCAGTAACCACTCAGGAATGTGGATTTAAAAGTTTATCTGAAAAAATCATACGTTGGGTTTGCACGTAACCCTAGAGAGACTCAGCACAGTTGGGTTGAACATATTGTAGGAAACCAATCATTTCTCTTGGCATATTTGTGCTTCGGTATGAGTTGAAATGGATTTCTTCCCCTTTAAACATGGCTCAGATAACAGAATAACAGAGTTGGAAGCGACCTTAGAGGTCTTCTAGTCCAACCCCCTGTTCAGGCAGGAAACCCATGATGGCGAACCTATGGTACACGTGCCGGAAGTGCCATGCAGAGCCATCTCTCCGGGCACGCAAGCCATCGCCTGGTGCTCTTCCAGTTTCCGGGTGCTGACCAGCTGGTATTCACACATGAGGGAGCACCAGAAATTGGCAGAGTAGCTGCCCGGTGCACATGTGCGCCAGGTGGCTTGTCTTCTGATTTCCGGCACGTGCATGCCCACCAGCCACCTGTTCCTCCGGTTTCTGGTGCGCATTCACGCATGAACTCCAGCTGGCTAGTGCACATGCATGAAACGGAAACCAGAAGATCATCTCCCCGGCACCCGTATGTGAAACGGGGCAGCTCTCTTATGGTTTCCAGCACACGCACACATGCTTTCCCGTTTTGGCAGGCGGTGCCAAAAAGGTTCGCCAACATTGCCCTATACCATTTCACTCAAATGGTCGTCCTATCTCTTCTTCAAAACCTCTAGTGTTGGAGCATCCACAACTTCTGGAGGCAAGTCGTTCCATGGCTTAATTGTTCTAACTGTCAGGAAAATTCCTCCTTAGTTCTAGGTTGGGTTGGCTCTGTGACACAAGATGAAGTGTGTAGCAACCCTGAGGAAGATCAGCCACGCTCACCAGAAATGCAGGCAACTGCAAGGAAAAGGAAGGCAGGCAGAAGCTGTCTCTGTAATTCAATCATCCTTTGAACTCCAGAACAGGATTCTCCGATGCTAATTTCCAAGCAGGTCAAAATTGCATTTGGGTCATCACGCACTCTGGTTTTAAAATCTCCTTGGGCTTCCACAAATGGAAGAACAACCTGGGAAGAAGAAAACAAGACACATTTTACATCAATATGGACTCGATCTGGACGGTGTCAGGATTCCATGTAACACCCCCAACGAAATCAAACTCCGAGTCTTGAAGTTCCTCAAAGCTAACTTTTATTAGGGATGTCATATTGGCACATCTAGGAAAACCTGAATCTGAAAGCTTCCGGGTTTTCCTCACCTACAAGAAAGTTCAAGACCTTGCCCACATCTCCCACATGTCCACCACAGCTCCAATTAGTTCTTTCCCGAGCAGAAGACATCCTCCAATTTCTTCTTTGCACAGCTGCCGGACACCATGGCCTTGAACTTCTCTTAGAGAAGTTTGTTATGGCTATCTCTACTTCATTCTCTCCCAACTTCCCACGATATGATTGTGGCAGGCCTGGATCCTCAAGGCATACAGGTAATATGGCTTCCAGGCATGACAGATGGATTTTGTCCCCACCTTCCTTTGACCACTGTCTTGGGAGCAAGCAAATTGAACAATGTTATCATGACCAGAGAAACGTCTCCCTGGGCATCTCAATTGAAGATGGTACCAACTCTAATGTTAGAAAAGTAGTTGTCCAACCCTGCTTTAACTTATGGGAACAAGGGGGAATGTTTTCCCCATATCCTCTTGGCATTAACTGCTTATTTACATTTCTATTATTTACAGACCCCTCGCATCTTGGACATAAATGTTTCAACTCCTACCCTCAAAACGACGCTAAAGAGCACTGCACACCAGAACAACTAGACACAAAGACAGTTTTTCCCCAAAACGCCATCACTCCGCTAAACAAGTAATTCCCTCAACACTGTCAAACTAGTTACTAAGTCTGCATTACTATTAATCTCATCGTTCTCATCACCCATCTCCTCCCACTTATGATTGCATGACTGTAACTTTGTTGCTGGTATCCTTACAATTTATATTGATTGTTTTCTAATAGGATTTGATTGCTTATTTGTACCCTGTGACTATTATTAAGTGTTGTATCTTATGATTCTTGATGAATGTATCTTGTCTTTTTATGTACTCTAAGAGCATATGCACCAAAGACAAATTCCTTGTGTGTCCAATCACACTTGACCAATAAAGAATTCTATTCTATTCTATTCTGTTCTGTTCTGTTCTGTTCTATTCTATTCTATTCTATTCTATTCTATTCTATTCTATTCTATTCTATTCTATTCTATTCTATTCTAGTTCTAGTTCTAGTTCTAGTTCTATTCTATCCAGACTGGAATATATCTAGAATTGTAGAATCAAGTCAAAAAGGCACAGATGAACTTCAAAGTACCAAATTAAACATATAGAATAAAATAGAATAGAATAGAATTCTTGATTGGCCAAATGTGATTGGACACACAAGGAATTTGTCTTTGGTGTATATGCTCTCAGTGTACATAAGGAGAATAAAATACATTCATCAAGAATAAAAAGATACAACACTTAGTGATAGTCAAGGTTACTAATAAGCTATCAAATTGTACTAAGAAACAAATAAAACAATATAATTGAAAGATACAAGCAACATAGTTATAGTCATAAGTGGGAAGAGATAGATACTAGTAAGGAATTTCTCCTCAATGTACCATTTGTTTCTCTTTGGCTAATCTTTCTATTGTTTTTTTTGCACCTTAACAGTGTACTCCTCCTCAGAAATAAGGATGAGGGATTTTGGAGGCATTTATTCCCAGATATGTCTTTACAGAACTGCAGATCAGGTTTAACCATATTTTTAACTATGATGTGTACTGCGAAAAATATGAATTGCACCTTAATGGGAAGAATAAAATTAAGCTACCTTCAGGACAGGAACAAACTAGAAACATTTCCCCCCCCCCTCATCCTGGTTAGCAATCTCATACATTTCCCATTTAAGATATAGTTAAAAAAAACAATTTCAGCTGCTCCGAGATGCCTTCAAACTGTCTTCCCATCTAAAATAATCCCTGCAAATCCTAAACGGTCTGCCCAGGCGGATAAAGCACTACGCAAAAAGTCATATATTTTGTTCAGCATTACATGTAGAAATACGTCTGCGCCTCCCCAAACACCTTCCTTAATAAACACTCGGTTAACAAAATAAGGTTATACTCTGCTTTTGTTTGTAGCATAAAAAAAACCCGTTACACGACTACACCATCATCTATACACCAAGTAACACCAGAAATCTTAGCCTTCACGGTTGCAAATTGTGCTGTTTCTTTCGGTCGAAATCTGGGAATTCTAAGGGTTAGAAAGTGTTTAAGCTTACCAGGGTGTTTTTTTTTTTTTAAAGTCTTTTCTGAAGTCCTGTTCAAGGCATCCGCTTTCAGCATTTCCTAACGGCGGAGGGTCCCTTTTATAGCTCTGCATGGAGTTCAGGGGCTGGCACTGAGCCACACAGATGGAAAACCTGGTCCGACCGCTAGGAAACCAGAGCTTGTAAGGGAGAGAAATGTGGAGTCAGGGATTTTTTTTTTTTTTTTTGCACAATGAAAACAAACTGCCCCCCCGTCGGTTCCCACGCTGGGAAGCCCACCCTTAGGAAGAATGCCGCCCACCAAGTTGGAAAGATTATAAAATATTCAATGGATGTCAAGTTCTGGAAAAAGAAAAATATGTTTGGAGGAATCGCTTGGAAGTGAGGGGTCCTTGGAGCTCTCTGAGCTTGGTTCTTTGGCGACTAGCACTGATAATGTTACCTTGTCTGGGTAATGAAACGTCCGTAAGAAAATCACCAAGCTCAGAGAGCATCAAGGACCCCACTGTCATCTCCTCCTCCTCCTCTCCACAAACCCCACTTCCTTCTAGCACTGAGCACTGGAAGTGGCTCAGACAGACAACTTCCTGCTCCCCTGGGGTGTAAGAAGAGTGAGGAAGTCTAGCACAGTCAGGCTATTAAGATCGTGTTAATGTGAATGATGCAGGAATAGTACAGGGTCAGCTATATGAACACTGAAGGACCCTCTTTATTCACATTATTATAAGAAAGAAATGTGCTGTTTAGAGATTACACTAAGTCAGCTAAATTCCGTTCTTGGTAATATATCTTCTGAGGGGCCTAGTTGTCAAGAATGCAAGGACATCCATATGAAACAAAAGTTACTTATTATCCAAAGCAACCATGAATCTACGCATCAGCAATCACAGAACTGAGGAAGGTTGTTTAGCTAAGATAATCTTATGAACTAGAAAATAATGAATGAATTTAGTAATTAGAAAGTGTCAATTATAATGTAACAAATGTATGTTAACCATATATGGAAAACTGCTGTGCTCACAAAATCCTTTGTCTTGCAGATGTATAAAAGCAGTTGTATCAGAGCTCTTCTTGGTTTAGAATTGCAGATACAAATCTGATTCTGAAACTGCGCAATAAACTGTCTCTGGCTGACCAGGAATGTTGTTTGGTCCCATCATTCCATAACAGTGTCATTAGAGCCAATCTCAGTGAAAATTGTTTTATCATTTCGATAAAGTTGATTTTCTGGTCTGGTCTACTCGATGGGGCTGACTCTCATACCCTTGTACAACGTCCCTAAAGCATATGAGTTCCTGCTTGCTTCTCAGCCTTTTAAAAGTACTATTAAGATTGATTGATCGATTGGTTCCTCTGGCAGTCTCTGATATTCTTAAGAACTTCTCCAGGACTATACTTGAAGGACTCTTATCTGTTTGTCAGCATCCAGATTTCACAGCTGTAAAAAAAAACATTGTGCTAACTTTTCCAGTCTTTGCTTTTCACCGTGATGTCCTTCCTGGCCTTGTCTAAATTGATGATGGCCTTCCTCTGTAGGATGGAAGACCTGATTTCAGCTGCTTGGATAAAACAGGTCTCTGTAGACCTGATTTTTTTTTTTTTTGAAAGCAAATTCAGCCAGTAGTCCCTCTCGGTAATGTATTGGCAAGATTTTGGAGGCAAGAATCTAATTTGGGAAACAGACCAAGTTCAGAGCGACTCCTGTTTTTTAAGCTTTCCAACTCGGCAACGAGATGAGCCAAGACAAAGGGAAAATTGTTTGCTAAGTTGACACAGACACATAATAGCTAGCCTCTAATTGCCTACATTTGCACAGTAGAAGAACAAAAACAGATGAGATCATTGGATTTTACTGAAATAACAAAAAAGAAAAAATGTTGGCTTCTTTGCCATTAAAAAAGATATCCCTATGGCCTCCGAAAGGCAGACTCGCTCCTGTTCAGGGAAACAACTGTATCTTAAGCATCTGTTCTTATGTTCTAACTTCTCTAAGTGGCAATAAAGGTGCAGCTGAAAAGCTGTGACATGATAGCAGTGTTCCAACATTTGAGGGGCTGTGACAAAGAAGAGGGGAGGGAGTCAACCTATTCTCCGAAGCCCCTGAAGGCAGGACAAGAAGCAACGGATGGAAAGTAATCAAGGAGAGAAGCTATCTAGAACTATGGAGACATTTCCTGAAAGCGAGAACAATTAACCAGTGGAACAGCCTGCACATCAGAAGTTGTGGGTGCTTCATCACTGTAGGTCAGAGGTGTCAAACTCAAGGCCCACCGGCCAGATCCGGCCAACGGGGTGCTTAGATGTGGCCTGGGAGGCTGCCCTGGGAACAGCGAAGGATTGGCTCACTGTGCCTCTGCCAGCAAAAACAGAGCTCATGAGGGCCGTGTGCGGCCCTCCCGAACTCTGTTTTCAGCTGCAATGGCCTCCTGCAACCCTCTGCCAGCAAAAATGGAGCTCATTGACCATGTGCAATTTCCACAGTGGTGAAATCCAAATTTTTTTATGTTCTGTGGGCATGGCTTGGTGGGCATGGTGTGGCTTGGTGGGCGTGGCTGGGGAAAGATACTGCAAAATTCCCAGCCCACTCCAGGGGAAGGATACTGCAAAATCCCCATTCCCACCCCACTCTGGGGCCAGCCAGAGGTGGTATTTGCCGGTTCTCCGAACAACTCAAAATTTCCAGTAGCAGTTCTCCAGAACCTGTCAGAACTTGCTGGATTTCAACCCTGAATATCCATCTTCTCCCACTATATCCGTGATGGCGAAACTATGGCACACAGACCCATTTTTCCGGGCACGCAAACTGTTGCCCAACTCACCTGTAGCTGTGCATGCATGCACGCCCCAGCTGATGTTCGGGACTCCGGTGCTCGTGCGTGCAATTTAGGGGACCCAGCAGGTCTCCTGCGCATGTGCGTGTGTGTGTGTGCATGCACTCAAGAGTACTGGTGCACAGCGTACGCATGCGCAAATGGTGTTCACACATGTGCATTGTGCATACGAAAACCACACACATGCACAGATGGTGCGATTGCATGCACAACACACGGTGGGGGCGCAGGCGAAAGCTGTGCGCATGTGCAGATGGTTTAGTTGTGTGCAGAGCGCATGGGGAGAAGGCACATGTTAGCACAAATGGCATGCGCACGGACAAAGCTTGCGAAGCACGTACCTGTTTGGCACTCGGTGAGTAAAAGGTTCGTCACCCCTGCTCTATATTATATCCAGTTCCTCCTTCTTCTGTTCAGAAGAACCCATTACCAAATGGACATGTTCTCCATGCAACTGGGCACTTAGAGCTCAGGCAAGCAAGAAGACACCATCCCAACCAAGACTGAGTCACTTCTTCCCTCCTTTACATAAGAGAACATTTGATTCAGGTTGGACGGGGCAGACCCATGACCTGTGACCTCTGCATGCATGACATCATCAGTTTTCTCTAATAATCTTTTCCCCTCCCTGCATTGAACGATGTTGGTAGTCTGCGGTTCCTTCCTAAATAGAGCAGAGCAGCTTTAATTCAATTTCGTTGAGGAAGAAATGTTCTTTTCTCTGGCCAAGAACCCATCTGGCACATTTCTACTGGGGAGAATGGTTTACGTTGACTTTACAAAAGGGTGAATGGAACCTACATATCATTTCCTGTAGAAGGATCTCCGGGAAGCAGATGGGAACTGTTCTTTCTTCCTTCACAGTTAACTAAGCTTCAGCGTAGCCTTCCAGAGCTAGGAGTCCTCCAAAGGCATTGGACCATAACTCCCATCATCCTGTCAGTGTTAACAGAATAACAGAATAATAGAGTTGGAAGGGACGTTGGAGGTCTTCTAGTCCAACCCCCTGCTCAAGCAGAAAACCCTATAACATTTCAGACAAATGGTTATCCAATCTCTTCTTTAAAACTTCCAGTGTTGGAGCACTCACAACTTCTGAAGACAAGCCGTTCTCCTGATTAATTGTCCTCACTGTCTGGAAATTCCTCCTTAGTTCTAGGTTGCTCCTCTCCTTGATTAGTTTCCATCCATTACTTCTTGTTCTGCCTTCGGGCACCTTGGAGAAAAAGTTATTCGGAATAATGAATAGTGTAGTCCCGCTTAGCTAGAAGATACCTACCTACCTAGTCAGTATTTTAGACTTTCCTTTCGTAGAGTGTTCTGACGCCTTTCAGATATCTGGACTACAAACCCTAGTTTTGTGAGTCTTGTGTTCCAGAAGATCTAGAGCAGGGGTGAGCAGCTACCAGCCCTGG